AGGCCTACTCGCTAGTATTCCGTTTGTAAACATCGCGCAATGTTCGTTACATTTCCTTACTTTTATAGAGGTGAGTTAATTGGCTGCATGCATGATGCAATGTGCAGGTATGCTTCGATAAATTCATCTTAAATTTATATTAAAGTCCAATCAATGCATTTGTTGATTTTCATTTTGTAAAAGTGGTCAAACATGTTAGGGTCGGCAACCTATTTGGTAGGGTCGTCGGTACCGGAAACAAAAATTTTTTTGTTACGCCTTATGAAAGTTGCCACGAGATGCGCGTACGTTTAAGTGTCTTAATGTTAAAAATTGAAGCTCCATCGTACTAGTAGCCAAGCAACTATTGCAAGGACAGAATAGCAGGCCGTTCTCCACGTTGACGCAAACGGGCCGCCGCCCCCGTTTTCGGAAAATCTCCCCCCCGTTTGAATCGTTGCCGCCCCTGTTTAAATTCACCTCCGCCCCGGTTTCGCGAGGAAATTTCCACAACAAATAAAGTTGACAGCGCCCGGAATCGATCCTCAAGACATTGCCGTAAGACCATGACATACCTGACGCAATGCACCTCCAGACAGTACACAAGTACCTGACACTGCCACTAGTCTAACCTGTGCAGTCTGTGATACTCGACACCAGACTCGGCTATCTAAACACAAGAACCCCACACACCGTCTACTGTGTGGTGGCGATTTTACCCATGTAATTAGTCGTACGGTAAAAAATACACCCCCAACCCCCCCTAGCTTTTCCCCCCCCCCTCCCCTTCCCCTCCCCTCCCCCCGTTTGAATTTCACCTGCGGAGAACCCTGCGATAGGTAAGCTCACTCATCCATTTACCTACGCAAAGCCTACAGGCTGAATCATGAAACAGACTGCCACCCGTAACCTTAATTAACCAGGCAAAAACTAAACAGTACGTATCAACCACCACAATGCAATGCGCAGTGCACTGGCAGTGGATAATTACATGTCAAACACACTATAGCTACCAGAATTCATAGAAATTATACGATTTTAAGGAGCCATAACCTTCTTCAACCAAATTTAGCTTTGAAATTCACTGTGACATTGGAGCATACATCCAGGCATGTACTAGATTCTAACTAGGCACAACCCGCAGTCAAATTCTTTCTACACAGACAGTCAAACAAATCCATGTTTACCCTCTTCTTGAGGTCAAAAGGTTATCCGCACACTTACTCTTCGCATGTCAGCGAAACCACATTCAGGTCCTTTCAATAAAGCATAAAACATGAAGGTCACCGCTGAAAAAAAAAAGTTTGCAATCCGCTCCCGTCAGTCATGTCCTCAAAAAATGTTTAAAATCTATGCCTGTTGCCCATTGACCTTTGACTCAATGTTCAGCACAGGATGGTTCCCTACCCATGCTGCTATACACCGACTACGTCACCGATCCTAGGTTGCAGTCGTTTAGTATTGTCGCGCAATTCTGACGATTTCCTCCCTCATACCTTCAAGTTAAGGAGGGAATGTTCCCCTTCTTCTTGACATCCTCTTGACCTTGACGCCCAGCTTCGACATCCCAACCTCGTTTCGATTACCCCCCCCCCCCGTCCCCTAATAT